AGAGAAGACCAAGAGAACATAAAAAATGAACTTCTTCCCCCCAAAAATCCTATGTGTAAATGCGGTGCTTCATTGCCCTTTTAAAATTTGTACTGTATGCATAGCTATGATAGCTCAATAGTATATGCTACATGTCTAGTGCAATGGAATCTCAAAATTTTTGGTTCGATTCTCGCATAGTTTTTTAATGCAAACAGTCAATTCTTTTGTCAGTTTTGTTTTATGTACAGTCTCTACTGATTTATTTTAAAATAGATAGCAAAAGCAGTTCTTCCAACCTACTAATATCTTAATATACACATGCATTGTACAAGCATTTCACTATACACCCTGTTATTTTGTAGTTGTTTATTATTTACGTGAAGTGTTACTATGTCATAGTAATTATAAAGATTAGCTGACTTAAATATTGCAAATTGACAAGGTATTTCAACTATTTGAAACATTTTCTTCAGCTTGAGCATTAAAAATTTGCCATTAATAAATGCACTTTCTTTATATTTTCTCTGAAAAAGTACCAAAAAAAAATTGTTTACAAAAATTAGGAGCTTGTATCATTCTTTCCATGTAGAAACCATGTTTCAAAAGAGATGTTCTAAAGATCCAATATTCGCATTCCATAATTATTGTTCTTATAAAGTTAAGGCATTCAAAACACCATAAAACGGACGGGGGATCAAAAGGTTAAAGTATGCATGTTGAACGCCGTGCAACATAAGCTAAAAATAAAAATTCACGCTCACATTAAGTAGAACCTGTTGCAATGGCTCTTCCATTTATTGTAATTTACCCGAAGAATAATACAGGGATTTTGAAATATAAATCACATTGGCAGTTAGGGCAAGGAGTTAAAAAATCAAATTTTAAGCATTAAATCATTATTTTTTCTAAAGATGTAGTCTCGTAACTGTAACTGTGTGTGCAAACAAATTTTCATTATACACTAACACGCGTTGCTCAATTTGTTCGCACACCGTTGCAGTTATGAGAGTCCATCTTAAAAATAATTATAATAATTCAATGCTTAATTAAATGAAATTTTGATGTAGTAGTTCTCAAGTTATTTAAGGAATAAATGTAAAAGCTACCAATTTAAACTGTTTAACCTGGGTTTGGGCAGGTTATGCTTTATAAACTGCAAAACAGTCTTAAAAAAGCATAAAATGTTCCATGTTTTATGCATTGATGTTTCTCCACTTGTACTGATACATACATTGTCTTTATACAGAATGGGTATTAAAATAATGTATATTTTAGGAATGACTCTAATTCTTGGCCAAATTATTCGAATATCACCTGGTTTGGGTCAGTTTACGCTTTATAATCCACAAAGCGGATTATAAAACAGCGTAAACTGACCCAAACCAGGTGATACTCGAATAATTTGGCCAAGAATTAGAGTCATTCCTTATAATTTAATTTTAATATCATTAAATAACTATGGGTGTAAATTTTATTGCTTTTTATTAGTTCAAATTTGCCGCTCAATAATACAACCATAGTAACGGAAGTGATGGGAAACGAGGGGAGGTAAAAACTGATACATAGGCCTAGCAGCCTTGTTGTTTGTTTACATGTGGTAAGATCGAATTATTGTTTGAAGTTAAAGGTACATTTATTAAATCTGGAATTTTCCATGAATCCCGAGGACTGGAAATGAGAGGATTGTATGGATACAGATGATTCAGCTGGTGGATGTGGGGGGGGGGGGGGGTCCCATACCAAACCAGGTTAGACAGAAATAATTTGTGTTCCTTTTTGGATATTAACCAATCAGAAGCTAGGATACAAACAAAATTAAATTATATTGTTCTAATCCTTTACAACAGAAATCAGTCATGTGGATATATAGGAATAAAAAGTCGTCTCAAGAATCACTTGGCTACTGTAAGCCATACTTTGTTGACATCCTAGCTAGTTTAGTTCCAAATTTACCAGTTAAAGTGTTTTGATGGGTTGCTTTCAAAAGATACTGTGAATCATAAGATATTGTGGTAAGCCGTTTTTGTGGGCATTCCTTGTCCGTGAATTAATATCCACAGTGATATTCATGTACTTGTAGCTTTTGAATTTTTAGGGTAACTGGAGTTTCTTATCGTCATTTCATTCATTCATTCATTCATTTATTTAGTACTGCACCATGCTTTACTAACACTGTGTGTTGTCTTTGTTCTGTGTTTGTTATAAACCTGAACACCCCTATTTTAGATAATGTAACATTCCAGGTAGATTGCCAGAATGGGTTAACCGTTTAGCTCCATGAGTAAAGCACTGGCTGGAATGCCAGAAGTATGGGGTTCAATCCCAAATGGAGACAAATTCAGCCTCTAGATCTGTCATGATCACAAACTGATTTCCTTCTAATAATTTTAAAAGATTGTTTATCCATGAAAGTGTATCCCTTGAATTGATTGATTTACACATATCTGATAGAATTGCTCCGTTGACTTTTAAATGATTTCAAAGTACGTTAATTTGGTAATATTTTTCTACATTTAATGCTTAAAATTTTGTACGACTGTTTAAATTTTCTGTTTTTTTTTCTTTTTTTACAGTCCATGCATGAAGATCAAGACAATATTATACAAAGAAACATTTTCCATAAACTTCATGAAGAATCTGAAAAAACCATACTTGTAGTTACATGGATTGCTGCTTTAGAAAATTTAAATATATATTGATTATCTCCCATTGCAAATTGATAAGCCTTAATGTTTGTATAATAATGTTTTATAATCTTGCATTTACATAATGTTTATCAGAAATGTGCTTAAAAATAAAATAATATATAATTTGCTTCGTTAATTCTGTGAAACAAAAATTTATTTTAAAAACAAAATATTTTAAAAGGTGGATGTTGACTTTTCTTAATTACCCCCCCCCCCCTTTTGTGTCTTGGGAAAAGGGGGTTGTTACATGTTTTGTTTTCTGGAAGTTCATGATGACTTTTATCATTATTTATAGAGTTTTATTTTGCTCCTTTTTAACAACCCAAGTATATTTTGATTTTGTTTTATGTTTTTTTTTTTTTCGTTTTTTTTTTTTTTTTTTTTTTTTTGGGGGGGGGGGGGTTACATGTACATGTATTGTTGTCTGGAAACTTATGAGTTAAATTCAGTCAGATGTAGAAAACCTCTATAGAATTGTATATTGACATGTTTTTATAGTTTGCAGTATCATCCTTAAATTTTAGATGAATATATAAATACATGAACAAGTATATACCAACTCTATTTGTATTGGAATATCAAATAAATAAGGTCTGCATTTTTGTTGTCTTTTATGTGAGACGGGGCAAGAAACCCAAATATGCTTGTTTCATTATTTCAATACCCATGTGTAATAAATACACGCAACAGTACCGTGGTCCATACTGATCTCATGCGTAATGGTAGTTTTGAAATATAATTTTCTAAATATGGTCACTTGCAGGCCGCAGTACTTGCATTGCTTAGAATATTTTGTCACTGATAATTATACTTACTTGCTTACATCAGTATTTTAATATTCTTCATGTTGACCTTGAATGTGGAATTGCATGACGCTCCATACTTCTGTCTTTGCGTCTACAGGAATTTACAATAGTAGATTCCATTGGACTCTTTTTTCAGATGAGAATTAAAAACGCTTTATTTGTTTTTTATTACTAATTTTAACACTTGAAAATGTAATAAGAAATAAAAACAAGTTTAAAATGGTAAAAATTGCTTTAATAAGTAAAATTTAAGTTGGTACAAAAATTGAAATAAGGAGACTTGGGAAATAATTTTGGGCAGAAGCTGTATATGCTGCTTTCTTCCAGGCCAGGCGAGGACTTTTCTTAATTGATACTCTCATATGGTTATTTAATAGGCTTGTTTACTGCTTCATCTGTAAAACACAAAATTAATCATGAAAATTACAACACTTAGATAATAGATACATTTTATCTATATTTGTAATCCCCGCCATCGTGGGCGCATATATCTCCCCTTGTAAAATCTGGATCGTCTCTGTGTTTGAAATAGGGAACGGCGGAGTCCGCGTTTTCTCTAATTTAAAATACTATCAAAGAATCCGGTAGAACAACAGTAAGCCAAACTTTAGGTAATTAATTCTGTATATCGTTTGCAAGATTGACTACCAAGTAAGTAGAATTTCGCTGCTAGAATCCCATGAAAAACATAGTTTAGTAGTGAAATGCAGTTGTAATAGCTAAACACAGAAACTTTGGGAGGGTTTGGACCAAAAAAGTCTTTCCCTTTAATTTCATGTGTATACATGGGATTCTAGCAGAATTTTCCAATATAATAAGACTTGTTTGGACCTAAATTTAGTTTTGGAATTCAATTATATCGGCAGCTTGCTGTTGTTCTATTGCGTTTTTTATTAAGGAAAAGTTGCGATCTATTATTAGATGTCACGTGACGCCAGTGACACCGTGATTGTAGAGATTGACGGCGCAAAACAAAGAGTACCCTTATATATTAAGTTCAGTATGTTTTGTTATGTTTGTTTGCGTTTTAAATATTTTCCAGGTAGTATAAGCGAACTATACTGTTTTCAGCTACAATTTCGTCATATGCTTCCTTAACACCCCTGCGATGAAAAAATAAAGATAATGAACTGTGATTAACCTCATTAATATTGTAGACAAACGTCCAATATATACTACATAAGACTGATATTTTAAAAACTCAATTATTCTCATCATGGTTTTCATGTGAATAAAATGCCCGACATCTAAGTCTTAGAAAATATAAATGCGTCTGAGAAAAGAAAACAATTTAATTGAATTATAAAATCGTGCAGCCATTTTCTGCATTTTAAATGCGTTATCTCATTTATTGTACGTATATCCCCTGGCGTTTATTAGTTTTAATATGTGAAGGAATACCGTACAATTATATGACATCCCTTGACAGATATTAATTTTAGTCCTGAGCATTTTTCAGTTTTTGGGTTTTCTTTTTCATCAAGTGGATCCTGCCTACATATTTTAACCAGGCAGGACGTGTTTCAAGAGGAAATGCTATTGTGACTAAATCTTGCTTGTTGAAAAACAAAAATAAGATTTTTTTCGTGATTTTTTTCGTTTTGCAAGAATATGTCTTCCATGGAATTACTTGCCTCTTTGCTGGCATGTGTCTTTATAATAAAGGTATGTTATTTAGTTTAAGTTTAAAGGTTTGTTATATACATGTAGTTAAGTCACAAATGTATGTTAATAAATTTTAGTCATTAATTCAAATAGAAGTAATTCAAAGTTTAAAAGAAAGTTATATATCATTTTTCCCCCTATTAATCAGTATTTCATAGGAATTTAATATTATTCATTAAATGTTGAGCTAAAAAATACTGTTAAAATATGTAAAATATTAACAGATCTTATGAAGTTTTAACAGATCTTTGTGAAAACATAATTTGAAGAAAAAAGGAGATAATATCTCAATGAGTAGATTATAGTTTATATTAGAATAAATTATGTATTATATACATTGATCATAATTTAGTCACTTATAAATATATGCATCTATTATATTTGATCGATTACATTTACTTGTTTTTTATATTCTATCTGACCTTGTTCATTTTTATTCTTATATCACACTCGTCTGATTTTATTTCAAAACTAATTTATAGTTATTCACGTCATATGTTAAAGATTTCACCGCAAACAAATATGGCTTGTTATTGAATCTCAAAAGCAGAAAGTAAACTTTTGCTAAGCGTATCCTCTCTTCTGCTGAAAATTTAAATATTAGAATAGAAAAATTGAGCAAAGGACTTCAATTGTTGATTGTAAATGACTGCGCCCAAAATCTAACCTTGACTGGAAAATTGGAAAGTATTTTTCTTAGCAAAGGAGAATATATGAAGGCATAATAACATTAAATATTTTAATTAGCGATGACGTTCTACGTAAGATACGACCTCAGAAAATGACTGAATTCAACATTTTAGAGATGTCAAAAGAAATAAAAATATTTTAAATCGATTGTTTGACTGTAAAATATCGAACACATATCTGCTCAATCTCCTTATTTTGGCATAATGTGCAGAATGAAGATTTCAATGATATACGTGAAAATAAGTCTTAAAGAAAACTTAATTATAAATTGAACAAATTCTGTGCATTTTTTCTCTTTTTAAAAAAAATAACGAGAAATCTCAATAGTTTGTGACGTCATAGAGACAAAAATGTCAATAATTTTTGTATCAATCTATGGGCACTTTGTAAACTCAGATTAATTTTATAAAATATATGCAATTATTTATTTTCAAGAGATTTTCAAAATTCGACTTTTATGGGAACAAGAACAGGCTTTTATAAAGAGTTGAGACAGTTAAAGTTATTGAAATTTTTACAGACTTTTACCTAGCTGATCAGACATCAATATTGAATGGGTTATTTTTATCAATGTGTTCAATGATAATAACATTACATTTTAATATTCATAAGCGTTATATGAATTTTTTTCATAACATATGAGACCACTCAAACATCTTATTATAGAAATTGTATATAATGCACATATCATGCTCTTGTAATAAATGTCTTTCTTCTGGGAAAGTGACGTGTGTCTCTTCTACGGAACAATCTTTTATGCATTAAATTTGTCATGAATATTACAGGAGCCCAGAACAAATGTGCTATCACGTTTAATTAAACTTTCAAGAAAAGAGCTTAAATTCAACATTTAGGAGTGACGAGAATACAGAGAAATATAAATCTAAATTTAGGGGAAATATTTGCCTACCTTCCGTTAATTGATAACAATATATCAATTCATGTGTTGAAGGTCATTTTATTTTATTTACTAATTATGGATTACACCTAAAATACTCATGACTAGTAGACAACACCCTTTGATATTAAATACTAAAAATAAAACTTTTTTGGGTCATTTTTTGTGTGGGAAAAAAGTTAACACCAACAGCATACATTGTTTATTTTCATAATTTTGTCATTAATTTTTATGTATCAAAAGAAGAGAACAATTACTGTTTTAAATTAAATGAATGGTCTGGTTTTTATGTTGGATATAAGTCTAACATTTCTTTCTTTAACAGTAAATATTCTTACTGTACACCTTCATTCTTACCTGTTTATTTTTTGAGTGTATATTACGTGAATATGCTAATAACGCTGCTCTCTGATTATAAAAATAGACTTGGACAGCTGTCTGATTACACTTGTTACCTGACAGAAGACATGATACCTTAACCTTAACCTGTCAGTTGTTGGTCTCTTTATTAAAGCAAGAATAACATCGTCATTGATGTGAAGATGACATTTAGTTTATATTTGAGATTAGGCTATTGTTATAAGTAGTGCGATTATCGATATTCTATTCTTGATTTTAAATATATTGATCTTGAAAAAAAACCCATACAAATAATACAATTAATGTACGATTCAGATCGCTCGTAATCCCTATTGGACGATGGATATCACTAAGTATACATACAAGCATCTTTTAATTTGAACAAACCATCCAAAACTGAGAACTTTGTTATTGTTTGAAATGGGCATATGAATAACAAGTAAGATCATATATTTGAGGTTAACTGAGTAATTTTCACGTAATTGGTGACTTTTTCATACTAATTGTTAGGCCATTATGTACACACTGAATTGTCGACGGATTTTTCTGTTATTTCGCGATCATGACAAGGAGCACACGGCGGGTGTGACCGGTCGGCAGGGGATGCTCTCTTATCCATGGCACCTCATCCCACGTCTAACATTTTTGGAGGTCCGTGTTTGCTCTGCTTAAAATGAAACTTATGTGAAAATTTTATTACATAGTGTAGATTCACGATTCTTCAAATCACTGGGGGGGGGGGGGGGGGCAGAGTGAGGCCATAATGAGGGATAATTTTATTGGAATTTTACATAGGAATATATAGCAATAAACCTTCTCAAGAAAAGCAAAGCCATGGTTTGTCAAACGAATATGGTGTGTAAATTTATGTTTGTTCAAATCAAGACCCCTGGGGGTAAGGTGGTGCCACGATGAGGAATCATTTTTTTTTTACATAGGTATATATAGTAAAAAAAATCTTTCAAAATTTTCTTCTGAAGAACAACAAAGCTTTGATTAGTCATTTTGATATGGAAGCATTCTAGGGTCTTTAAAAATCTTATTCTCAAAAAGGCAAAGCCATGGGTTGTAAAATGAAAGTGGAAGCATCGCCAGATCGTTTAGATTCACATTGTTCAAAACTTACCTTGGGGTAAGGTGGGGTCACAACAGAGATCAAAGTTTTGACATACGAATATGTAAAAGATAAAAATCTGCTGATTAAGAACAGTAGGACATTTTGACTCACGTGAACGTTAGGTCTCTTGTTTAAAAATTTTAACTCAGAAAATTACAGAGACATTAGTAGATTATTCGGTTTATACAATTGTTTGGGGCAAACTCATTAAAATATTGTTTTCATTACAACATCTAAGGCTTTTAATCGAATATCATTGTTAGAGGTGGGCGGTAGGCAAAAGAACCATTAATCATCTGTGTGCTTTTCTATCGCTCTCTTTCTAATCGGCTCTTTTTTAATTAACATTTCGAAATGAGTTTACTTTACCTGTCCCCAGAAAAAACCCTCTAAAATATGATGTCAACTGAATTTCTTAATTAATCTAAAAGAAAGAGATACTAACCCTAATCCCTCAGAGTGTATGCGAGGAATAACACAAATCTCCCGAGAGGATGCTAGTCTAACCCTGAATAGTCAAACAATGTGAGATGGACCAATCCTAATCTCTCGGATGTATGCGAGACTAACTCTAATCAGTCGAAGACTTGTGCAAAGATTAACCCTAATCTCTCAGATAGGCGCAAGACTAACCTCAACCAGTCGAATAGTGTGCAAGACTAACCCTTATAAGTTGAGTGACGTAACTCTTATGTCATAGTACAATGAGCGTGCGAATCTTACGGGTAAAGTAAAGGTTGACAATGACAAGCATTTGTATACAAATAGTGAAATATGTAGAGATAACGAACAGTATTCGAGCTCAAAAGTTCATCAAACATTACATAATAGGAGCAGAGCAAACACGGACATTTAAGACATCAGAGGTCGGATCAGGTACGATGGAGGAGTGATCATCCCCTGCCAATCAGATAAAGTTAAAGTATATAAAGATAGGAATTACAAATTCGGAAAATATTAGCATCAAAATCAAATGGCAGCAACACAGGAAAGGGATTTCAAATTTAGAACATATTTAGACAAGAAAACATTGATGTAACCATCAATTGTCGCCCGGGAAATAAATAAAGTAAACAATGGAAATGAGTCTTGATCATCAAACCGCTTCGATATGTGTGAAAAATGATGGAGACGATAGTCGAGAATATTTTGAAAACCTATAGTCGGATGAAAATCGAACAAAAACGATATCCTTTTCAACTTTATCAATTCCTCAAGTAAATGTTGGCTGCAAAAAATATAAATTGAAACCAGACACATGCATCACCTATTTTCAAAAATGTCTATCACTTTAAGAATATAAAACACAAACTGTGTAAAGTACGTTTTTACGTTTTTATGCGATAAGTAAAATTCGATGTTCTAAAAAAAAAGGGACCTGTCGTTTTTTCGATAGTAAATGATAAGCAACTTTATATATTAAATATGAAAAACATATATATTTTTACAGATTCACTTTATGGAAGTAAATATATTGTGTATCTCGTAATTTATAAAGGGAAAGAACATTCTGATTTACAATCTTTTTAATGTCTAGAAAACCTTTAATTCTGAATAACTTCTCCCACCTCAATCCCCATATACCAACACTTAAACTTATATGTATAGAGCAGCCCGGTCCTCCAGGCTGCAATAAAATTAGAATTATAACTAAGCTGCAAAATTGTAGTTATAGATAGTCAAGGTACAACACATAAAAAATGTCGGCGTGTTCAGATACTTAAAACACAATATTATAAATCCATAGATAAATTTGTATAACAATGAAGCTTTCATTTTGAAGCAATACTTGTCTATTGTGTGGTTGAAATGACCGCATGGTTCACTCATCATATTAATATACATTAATGAACATTAAACCACAAAGTCATGTTTAGGTGTTTACATAGTTTATTGTTTATTTCATTAGTGATGCAAATATTTTCTTCTTTCATG